CGGCCTGCGCGGAGCGGGGCCCGCGGGGTTTGCTGGTGGCCGCCCGCCCGGCGCTCTGCGCGCACCTGCCGCCGCCGGAGGCTCGCGGGGGAGGCCACGAGTGCCCGGCGCCCGCGGCCTGCTCGGCGTTGGCGCCAGGCGGGGCCGTCAGAGGGGCGGAGACGGGCTCCGGCCGCAGCCTGGGGGTGGGTCGGGACGGGCTCCTGAGGGGCCGGCGGAAAAAGGCAGGGCGGCTCCCTGGGGGTGTGCGATTCTGGGCCGAGGGTCCGGAGAAGCCAGAGAGGAAGGCCCTGCGCGCATCGCGCGGGCAGAGGCGGGAATGCGGGCTCCGGTTCCTGCGGGGCGGGGCCGGGGCGGGGCTGTGGGTCGGGTCCGGGCTGGAACCAGGCCGGTCCAAAGCGGTGCGGCGGGGGCTGGGTGGTTCGGGAGCCGGGTCGCGGGGGTAGTCGGGGCCGGCGCTGTGGGCGCAACGGTCCGGGTGGGCCTGCGGGGAGCCTGGGCTGGCGCAGGAGGGGTCCTGGCCCCTGGGGGCGTTCGGATGGGTCAGTGGGGTCGCGGCGGCCGAGCGCTTGGCACCCGCCCCGCCCCGGGGCAGAGGCTGCGAGGCCGTCTGCGGATCGCTCGGAGCCGGCGCGGCCGCCTTTCCTGACCTGGGGTCGCACGTCTCCTCCCCCCGGGATCACACCCCCGCCTCCTTCCCCAGCACTTGCCACCTCGCTTTTAACAGAGAGGGAGCGGACGAGAGTCTCCTCTAACCTGGTTTTGCTTGATTTCGACTGTGCTTTTTCTACCTGTAACTATTGCTACCGCTAATTATAGCAAACGGAAGTAGTTTTCTATGTCGTGCAGTGATGGTGTAGGTTTTCTGAGAATAAGTTTAAGTGAGAGAGGAAGCTGAGTTAAGAGGGGTAGAACTAAGCGAGAGTCTAGGTGGCTCAGGTGTGGCAAAGCTGCAGGTGGCACACGGGGGAGGGGGTGCCCAGCACAGGCCCTGGGGTGAGGGCAGCTTGCACCACTTGCCATCTTGTCACCCACTCTGTCCCGTGCTGCCCCAGGCCAAGCTGAAGTCCTTCTCAGCCAAGATCGTGCAGCTTCTGAAGGAATGGACAGAGGCTTTCCCCTACGACTTCCAGGACGAGAAGGCCATGGCCGAACTGAAGGCCATCACGCACCGTGTCACCCAGTGTGACGAGGTCAGTGCTCCTTCAGCCCTGGCCAGGCTCCCTGGGTATGTTGGGGGGGGGTCTGCCTTCAGGAGGGTGGCGTCTTCAGGGACAGCTCTCTATGTGGTCCCCTTCCTTGTCACTCCCTCAAGAGGGTTGCTGGGTGGCTTTATTCAACCTCCCTCACCCCTAGATGACAGCCCAGTTGGTCAGCGACTGGCCAGACTCACCCATGACACTGCATGCAAGAGCCCAACAGCCTGGTGACCAAGATCACTCCTGGCCCTTGGCACCCTTGTCCCTGGAGTGGGGTATATCAAGGGCTTGTAAGAGTCTCTTTGCCTTTCCTGGCTCCCAGCTCAACCTGGGCCTTTGGTGTACAGACAGGGGACCTGAGAAGCCTGGGCCAAAATTCCACGTACTCAGCTCCTGTCCACCCAGAGGGCTTAGGAGGTCCAAGGAGAGCTTCAGGAGGGGACAGGGACCCCAGGCTGCCCCTGCTCAGGGGCGGAGCCTCTTGGCCAGGGATGAAGTTCTTCCCGATGCCTTGCTCCATTCTGGGGGCCCCTCCTCCCACGGGAAGGCAGCGAGAAGCAGCCTCCTCAGCAGCGCTCAGAGGAGCTGGTGCTGTACTGTGTTCTATCATCGAAGGTCCAAAAGCTCGTGGCAGGTTTGGATATAGGGTGTGGGCTCCTGTTGGTCAGGCACGTCTCTGGAGGTGAGCTGGGTCTCCCAAGAGTGGTGGTGGCCTTGCCGCCAGGCCACACCAGCATCCTCGTCACCCCCGACCCCCACAGGAGAATGGCACGGTGAAGAGGGCCATTGCCCAGATGACGCAGAGCCTGCTGCTGTCCCTGGCCGCCCGGAGCCAGTTCCAGGAGCTGCGAGAGAAGCTCCGGCCACCAGCTGTGGACAAAGGGCCTGTCCTCAAGACCAAGCCACCGGCTGCCCAGAAGGACATTCTGGGCGTGTGCTGTGACCCCCTGGTGCTGGCCCAGCAGCTGACTCACATCGAGCTGGTCAGTGCCGCCATGTGCAGGGAGTGGGGCGTCTACTGCTGCTGTGCAGGGCCACCAGACTGTGGTGTCTCTTGTCACAATGCCGTAGGGACCATAGTCAGATTGGGTCATGGGTAGGGGAGCCAGCTCCCCAGCCTCAGACGGGCGTGTCCATCTGAGCAGCAGGTGCCCCTGTGCCTGGTACTCAGGGCTGTGGAAGCACGGCAGCCCTGCGTAAGAGGGAGGGACTGGGGCACTGCTGTCCTGCAGTGGGGACCATGGTGGCCCCAGGATGGAGGACTGGCCTGGGAGAAGGCCAAGGGCCTGTGCCCTGAGCAGGCCCCCTGCTCCCAACACACCCTGTGCAGCTCTGACCCTCCTCCTGCTGTCTCCTCACCCCCAGGACAGGGTCAGCAGCATCCACCCTGAGGACCTGATGCAGATCATCAGCCACATGGACTCCCTAGACAATCACAGGGTGAGTGGCAGAGACCTGTGCCATGCTCTGGGTCCCCAGCCGGTGCCACATGCCTGGCCGGCCTGGTGCCTGCGGCCATGCAGGGCAGGTGTGGGCCTCACCCAGCATGCCCCGAGTGCCTGCAGAGCACTGGGCCATGAGACCTGGCAGATGTGGCCCTGGCCCTGCGGGCACCTGCTTCAGAGGTCTCGGATGACTGCGCAGATGACGCACCGGGGAGCTGCAGGCTTGGCCAGGGACCCAGCCTGGCCTGCGCTGGGCAGCGTGGAGTGGTCTGGGCTGCCATGAAGCAGGCTGAGCTGTGGCCTGGCGGACCAGGCTAGCCACGGGGACTTCACTGTCCAAGCAGGGTCCTCCAGGCTCCCTGAGACCTGCCGTGTCCCCACAGTGCCGAGGGGACCTGACCAAGACCTATAGCCTGGAGGCCTACGACAACTGGTTCAACTGCCTGAGCATGCTGGTGGCCACGGAGGTGTGCCGGGTAAGCATGCCCCATGGCAGACGCGGTGGGGTGCCCCATCTCCACGCCCCGTCAGGCCCCGACTCCCGCCCCACCTGAAGCTGGGCGATGGAACTTTGAAAGTAAATGCACGGAGTCTTCCTTGCATTGCTAGGTGCATTCCTTGCGGTGCCTCCTTCAGTGATTACAGACACCCCGTCCTGTGCTTCCTCTGTGCCCAGCGCCGCCTGGCCCCAGTCGGGCCTCGCTGGGCAGACAGCCCTGCTCACAGCTGAGGAAGCTGAGCAGGGTCGGTGCCCTGGCGGTGCCGTGCTGAGGCTGCCCTGCGCCTTTCAGGTGGTGAAGAAGAAGCACCGGACCCGCATGTTGGAGTTCTTCATCGACGTGGCCCGGGAGTGCTTCAACATCGGCAATTTCAACTCGATGATGGCCATCATCTGTGAGTGCCTGGGTGCCCGGTGCGGGGGGCCTCGGCCTGCCTCCACGGCCCTCACCCCACCTGCTGTCCCTTGTAGCTGGCATGAACCTCAGTCCCGTGGCGCGGCTGAAGAAAACCTGGTCCAAAGTCAAGACGGCCAAGTTTGACGTCTTGGAGGTAGGCGTGAGCGCCTGCCACAGCCTTGCCCTGCATCGCCTGGAGGGGTGCCGACAGTGGGGTGGGGACTTCCCGGTGCAGCGTCAGCGGCTCCCTCTGGCCTGGCGCTGTCGTCTTCAGGTGGTGGGTACTCAGGCTCTCCTTGGCTAGGCTCTGACTACTTCCGGTGGACCCAGCATGGCCTAAGGGAAGTTCCGGGGAGCAGTTAACAAAGAGCTTGACAAAAGCGGGGCCCTAAGTCGCCAGGTAGACCGTGCGAGTGAGCGGAGCCTGGCTGGCCTCTTCCTTGGTCACCTTCTCCTGGATGTCTGGGTGGCCCAGAGGCTGGCAGACAAGTTCCTCTGCAGCCTTACCCGGATGCATTTGATCCTGGGATCCATTTTTTGTAAAACACTTGTATTTTGTGGGGCTGCTCAGGTCTCAGAGGTGTTGATACATGAAGAGGAGCAAAGAAAAGTTTTGAAGGCAGGAGGGACAGGCTGGGCACGGCAGGCAGGGCTGTGACACTTCTGTCCAGCTTTCCAGAGACACTGGGACCGAAACCTGGAAGCCCCTGGCTGTGGGGCCCAACCAGGTACCTTTGGGCGTTCCCTCCCCTGCGCGCACTCCTGGGCTGCCCAGGACAGAGACGCCTTCTCCGTCTGCTGGCTCCGGCCCTGCAGGGGAGCATCCTGAGCAGGTCTGAGGGGCGCCGGCCTGGGACACTGACCAGAGCCTCCCTGTACCCACAGCACCACATGGACCCATCCAGCAACTTCTGCAACTACCGCACGGCCCTGCAGGGGGCCACGCAGAGGTCCCAGATGGCCAACAGCAGCCGAGAGAAGATCGTCATCCCTGTGTTCAACCTCTTCGTTAAGGACATCTACTTCCTGCACAAAATCCACACCAACCACCTGCCCAACGGGCACATTAACTTCAAGGTGAGCTCAGCCTCCCGGGGTCCCAGCGCCACACAGGGCAGGGTCTGTGGGTCTCCAAGCCCTGCCTGAGGTTCGGAAGGGCCTTCAGGTCTGAAAGCGGCAGAGGGGTCAGGGGTGCTGTCTGACCGTGATGTGTGAGGTGCCCCTTGCCCTTCTGGGTGGATGTCCTGGTTACAGAGCTGGGAGTCACAGGGAGCCGTATTTACTCAGGACCGTGGCTACAGCCTGACCTCGCCAGGGAGATGGAGTCAGGAGGACCTCGGGCAGAGGGGAGGCAGGGGCAGAGAATTGCAGACGAAAGCCAAGAACCTGCCTGGTGCGGCTCAGGGCACCTGGCCAAGGGCGGGAGGGTGCGACGGAGGTGCCTGGGCAGGCGATGGGCCGTGGCTGTAGATGCCCACTTCGCACAGGCGAGGGTGGGAGCTGTGGACCCTACACAGGCCTGGAGAGGGAGATCCCGGCATGCTCTGGTTGGCGCCGATGGCTGGGTGTGGCCGGGGCGCCTGCCGCAGGCCGGGGTCATAGACGGGGTCCTCTTCAGTCCCGGCAAGGGAGGCACAGACCTGCCGCCAGCCTGATGGCCCAGGCAGAGGGCAGGACACCATGGCCTTGGAGGACACCTGCTGGCTCTGATGCCACACCACGTGCCACCACTGCCATGGGTTCAGCCATGCAGGGCCACTGTCCTATCTTGCTGGGACAGCAAAGTGAGCAGCAGACTGAGGCCAAAACTCACATACCCTGCACTGACCAAAGGTTTGGAGGTTAAGGCGACAGGTGAACATCACTTGGTCTTTTCCCCTGCAGAAATTCTGGGAGATCTCCAGACAAATCCATGAGTTCATGACGTGGACACAGGTAGAGTGTCCCTTCGAGAAGGACAAGAAGATTCAGAGTTACCTGCTCACGGCGCCCATCTACAGCGAGGAAGGTGAGGGCTGCTCCTGTGGCAGCACGGCCCTCCCCCCTGGACGTGCCACCCTGACTCCCTGTCCAGGCCCCACACCTGTTGGGGTTGCCCTGGCAGGTGGCCTGGTCGCTACTCTGTGCCACACGGGGCGAGCTCAGCTCACAGGGGCAAGTGTGTGTGATGGTTGGTTGTGGGCAGGGAACAGCAGGACAGAGGATCAGGCTCCAAGGCCACTCAGAAGGGCCAGAAAGGGTCAGGCAGCTGCTGCAGGGTGAGGAGCCTTCCCAGGGTCCCTGACCGGCAGCCGGGGAGCCCCACGCAGCAGAGACCGGCGTGCAGCCTAGCCAGAGGTCGCTGTCCTCTTATCCTGGGCCCAGCTGCTGCCCTGGAAGGGAAAACTGGGTGTTCACAGATGCCATGTGGGGACTCCGGTTCTGAGGGCCTCTCCTGTCCCTCAGCTCTCTTCATTGCCTCCTTTGAAAGTGAAGGTCCCGAGAACCACATGGAAAAGGACAGCTGGAAGACCCTCAGGTAGGGGAGCTCCAGGAACACCCCAGTCTGCAGGGAAGGGGCAGAACTGCGGGTGGGCCTGGGGCACCTCGGTGGCCTCGGTGCAGGGTGCTGGCGCAGGAGGCCGAGGCCCGGGTTTGGGTCCAGGCCCTGCCCCTGCCTCTCTGCCTGCTTGGGGGCCTGAGCGCGGCCTGTCCTGTCCACCCTCAGGACCACCCTCCTTAACAGAGCCTGAGGCGCCGACGCGGCTGCAGAGCAGATGGAGCTGGAGCACACGTAGGCACCGGGCGAACCTTGATTGACACGGGCTGAGCTGAGGAGGCCTCACTGGTTGGGGTCCGTTTTGTATATAACTTTTATGAGAAAAAGGTAATTATTTCATGCATCAACCTTTGGCACTTAAAAAGTTTTTTTGTTTATTTTAAACAACAGGGCAGGGCCCTGCTTTGGGGAGGGGGGGAAGAGTATCATGGGAGACGGTATCCATGATAGCGTCTTATTCTGATGAAATGGAGATTTTTATTTTCTACTTTTGATTGTTAACATCTTACAAAAAAAAATTTTTAAAAACCCAACCAAAACCAACGTGAGCCCTGCCTGCTCGGACCTCTCCAGCCAGTGTCTCTGACGTCGGGGTTAGTGCCTTAGAGGGTACTGGGGCCGTCTTCCTGCTCCACGCCAGGCACCGGCCCTCCCGAGCCTGGGCCTGGAGGCTCCTGCCGGGGCCGGGTGGCCCGGAGGTCTCATCTGCACACTTCTGGAAGCCCTTTGAGTGTGGGCTTTCCAAAGTTTACATTTTCATTTTCCTTTGTCAGGGATTTGTGGGGTCAGGGAGGGAGGGGCAAGGGCACCTGGCAGTGTATTTTCTGTGAGAAATTGGCAGGTCGTTCTTCAATTACATTTAGAAAAGAAGAAATCTAAAATGTGAGGGAGGCAGGGAGGAGTTGCGGGGGTCATCGGTTTGAGAGACAGTGAGCGAGCTTTGACGAAGAGAATGCAAAGCAGGCTCCGGGACAGTGGCTCGTAGAGCTGTTCTGGAAGCCCACGTGCAGCGGGAGGGAAGCGGCCCGAGAGGTGGTGTTCTAGGGGACTGCCCCCTCCCCGAATCGGAATCCGAGACACAGAATCGCCAGGCCAGAACTGCTGGAGCCCGTTCAGATAAACTGCCCCACACGGGGAGGTATTTCTCTGCACCCAGCCTAGAGGAGCGCATCCCTGTCCCATGCCTGACCTCCTGGCCTTTGCCCTGGGCCTTACTGACCGTGGGGCAGGGTGGCTCTCCCTCACAAGGCCAGAGGCAGTCTGTCTCCCTGCGGGAACTCCGCACCCCTGTCCCCCCCACGTGCCGGGTCCCACTTCCCAAAGCTGCTGGGAGAGCCGGCGCGCAGGCTGCCCTGGGGAGGCGGCGGCCCTGGGCGGAGCGAATAGTTGCACTGTATTGTCACAGTGTGTTTGCACTTTCCCACATCCTACCTAGTACAGACTGTATGTGGATAGTACATATTGCTTTGTCTGTCTTTGAGGTAAAGGCTTCAGCCTTGAGAATATATATTATTTGGAATACAGTGTTAGAACGTTTTCTGTACACATGGTCAAGGGCCTTCACATCCATGTGCTCTCACAGGTGATAAGTTCTAGTACCTACTTGAAACAGTGTCTGCGTCTGCTACTTTATTTTCCCAATTTGATACATACCTTCAATTCGATGTTTTGGTATTCTGAGATGAGCTGCGATTATAAAGCTGTACCATAACGCAGGATGTCAGCTTTGGTGTGACTGGACATACTCGCATCAATAAAGGAACACACTGCTCCCGGCCTTGCCTGCTGTGTGCGCGCAGAGACGCGGGCCTACGCGGGATGTGGGGACGAGGCTGCCAGGCCCGGCACAACCTTCCAAGGAGGGGCTGGGCAAGGGGCTGTCATCTATGGGGCAACGCATTCTGACAAAGGGCTTTCCAACGACTTCCTGCTACAAACGGCTATGCGGGAGGGGTGTTCTAGTCCTGCATTCCTCAGCGTGAGCCCCCAGAAAGATACCACCAGTGTGTACTGCACGGTCCTGCGAGTCTGGGAGCCCTAGTTAGACCAGGCTGTGAGGGCCCCCTGACTGCAGGGCCAGCCAGCCCCTCCTGGGGCGTGGTGGGTGGGGAGCCCCTGCTGACACCTTCCCGCGCAGCAGTCTGCAGGACGCAGTCTGGGTGGGGCCCCTCACACACAAGCACTGAAGAAGAGGGGTCTGAGAGATCTGGGGAGCTGGAGTCGAAGGAAAAGAACTGAGGCACCAGAGGAAAGCCAGCCCCCCGCTCCTCCAGGCTGCCCATTCCTGTGTCCATGGGGCCCGGCTGGATGACGCCAGAGGCTCTCGTTACAGCTTTTTTAGACAAGCGCAGTAGTGAGAGGGAAAGTAGAATGAGGAGTTCCACCTGCAACCAACCGTGAACCATTGGGAGGTAACTCACCACCTTCCGACCGGCCTCCGCGCAGCTCGGACCGAGCCTTGCCTGGTGTCTTCAGAGCTGACAGCTCAAGTCTGACAATGCTTCGGCGTCTGTCATTCCCATGAGACTGGCGCCGCCCCGCAGAACACTTTCTGTGGGGAGGGAACATTCTCTGGTATAGGAGCCACTGACCACACGTGGGCACTTCACATTGAAATGTGGCCAGTGTGACTGAGGACCTGGGTTTCTAATGTGAGCCTCAACAGCTATCGGCCACTGTACTCGACAGAAGCCTGGGCCCCAGCACCTTGCTGCCTGTCGCCCCTCCAGTGCCCGCTGGAGCAGACGGGGCAGGACAAGGGCTCAGGTGTTTGTGGAGCAAACCCGGACACCAGTGAGGATGCTTGAGCTTTGGGTAAATGGCACCACTTTTTAGGTCTTTAAATCCAATGACATCCCTAATTTCCTGTGACGTTATTTTCAGAAGTATCCACCTGTCTCAGCTAAAGAAGGGGTAGCACATAATTTGGACTGTGCCTGGGACACGACCTCGAGCAGTGTGAGCAGAGTGCTCCTGGCCACCCTTCCCCCGCAGGCAGTTCCTCCAGGGCTGTGGTTCTCAAGTGTGGGGCCTGAACTTGTCTGAAATACCCATTTGCAGGCCCCACCCTAGGCCTGCTAAATCAGGAACACAGCCCTGGGCTGCATGCCTCCGTGAGCAGCTCTGGCTGCCGAGGGTCTGAGTGGGTTCCTCTCCCCCTCCGACGCCCCCCCAGGACCCTCCTCAGGCACACTGACCTCACAGCCGTCAGCACGCCCCCATCCTGCACCTCCTCCACTACTGGCGACCTGTCCTCACACCTGGAAGCACTGGTTCCTCCCGCAGGAGTCCCCAGGTCATCCTCGGTGGTGGCCCATGCTCCCTGGGGCCTGCTCCTGCTTGCCCGTCTCCTGCGGGGCTGTCGTGTCTGTCTCACGCACTAGTCCCGGCTCTTTCTTTGCAGGAGCTGCTTTTAATGCGGCCGTGTCCCGTGGCCGGCACGCTGTACGGCTTCTCACAGCCCCAGGTGACAGCTGAATGTCACCTTACACCTCACACGTGTTTCAGAACAAATATAGCAGAATGATAAGCTAAGGACCAATATGTAGAGACACAGTGTTCCGTGACAAACACTACTTGTGACACACACACCTACTACACCTATACGTAAAACGTATGCCACTGTCCTCAGGGAGGCAGAACAGGCCACAGCGAAGGGCAAGGCAGTGAGTGGCCATACTGGGGTTTGAGCCCTGGTCTCCAGTTCCCAGGTGGAGATGGCTGGACAAGCTACTCACCTTTAGCCTCCATTTCCTCATGATTAAGATGGGAATTGTGGCGGCTCTCTCTCATGCGGTTGCTGCAACAGCAGATGAAGCAGCGTGGCGCCTGGCTCACGTCAGCGCAGTCAAGGTGTGCTGTGGACGGGCGGTGGCACCCCATGATGCCAGGCAGCATTTGTCCTGCAGAGAGCAGCAGCTTTCAGGAAAAAGAGAAGCGGAGGCTTATAAGCCCCCTTCTCAAAGGAACACCTGACGTCCGAGTCAATACGATGATACATTAATACTAACATCACTGAAGAGCCACGTAAGTGTCAACTAGTATCTGTACATATATGGAGGAAAAGCCCCACACATGTGAGATCCAAAACTACTTTCTAAAGGCAGGCCAGGTTAGATTACGTTAACACAATTTATATCTTTATTCCCAAAAAGGAAGTCACAACACTGAGGAAGGTGAGGGGGTGCCAGAACACCCCCACGTACACACCCCACAGAACCAGGACACTCAGGCATGGATTTTCAGCAACAATGCTGTGAAGAGTATTAATAAAGTAAATTAGACACCTGTCCATTTCTGGTAGCATGAAAGACTAAGTATTCAGCTGCTGAACACAACCAGGAAAGTTGTGGAAAATTAAAAAATCCAAGTGAAGGAAGAAGCCCAGAGAAGTGAGGGAAGCTCTGAAGCCAGCTTTTGCCCGAGGAAACAGACAATGAGCTTCCATTTTCAAGTCCAAGGGGGATAAGAAGAAAGTCCAGGGCCTGCTCATGATAAGGAATCAAATATAGGAGACCGTAGCTCATAAAGCTGGAATCCCAAAGAACCACTCTTCAGTGTAACAGTGAACTTGAAATAAAATGCTCCACCTGAACCCCAAGGGGGTTAAGGAAAATTGCCTACTTTGAAGCTCAGCACTGAATGGAAGCAGGGAAATTTAACCCCTGATAATTTATAACCACAAGGCGGTGAGCTTCACGAAGTTTTGCAGCAGAAATCACACTGGTCCAACAAACTTTCAGCTGAAAATTTAGTTTAACATGGCCTTGAACTTGGACTGCCCCAAAGTACCCAGCAGAAGCAAACATTCTGACCTATACCCCAGTTTTAAAAATCTCTCCTTCGCTGGGTCTAATCTTGTTAAATGCATCTGTTGGATTTAAAAATTCGATTATTGTAGTTTTCATTTCTAGATGTTCTATTTGGTTCTTTCCCAAATTTGGTCATAATTCTAAAGAAATTACCAAAATCTAACACAGAGAAAGAGTTGGAAAATAAGAAACAGATTAAGAGGCATGGAGGGTATAACAGTTTTAACATGTTATCAGAGTCATAAAAGGAAAGAGAATGAGGCAGAGGTAAATATGTGAAAATATAATAGCTGAGAATTTTTCAGAACTGATAAAAGACAAGTCAGGAAGCCCAGAGAATCTCAATCTGGATCAGGAAAAAAAAAAAAAAATCCACACACAGATACATCATTGTGATGCAGAACGAAGAGAAAGAAGAGAGCCTGAAGACAGCCGGAGAGAAAGAGCCCGGCCTGCCTGCAAGGGAGCGGCAGCTGCCACGCGGATAGTTCGCAGCAGACGACAGCCGAAGCCAGCAACAGTACAACAGTGACATCCATGTGCTAAAAAGAAAAATAATCGCCAACTTAGAATTCTCTACCCTTCAAAAACATATTTTTTCAGTGAGAGAAAATAAAAATATCTAAAGACAAACTAAAATGGAGTTTGCTATCAGCAGACTCACTGAAAGAAAATCTAAAGGATGAATCTTGACTC